ACAATCAGTTCGTGGTACTTGATGCCAAGGGGAACGAGCGTACCGTCTTACTAGACGAGACGCGCGAGCTCCCTGTGACTCTTCTAAGTGCAAACAAATTCTGCAGGTCAGTGCGCAGGCGCAAGGAAGCTGAGTTTGTACATATAGCTTTTGTAAAGCCTCTCCATGTGCCTTCTACTTTTGCTGCATTTTCTACCTCTGAAGGTAACTTTACCTCTACTACCTCTACTTCTGTTCCACCTACTTCTACTGTGAATAATCAACCCACTTCTGATCCGCATGCTTCAAAGCCAGTTGTAATTGCTGTAAATTCCCAATCTGTTTTTCTTTCTCCCGATGAGGATGATCCTCCACCGGAAATCCCAGCAAACATTCGCCATCTATTAGATCGATTTCCTGAAGTGTTGGCTGAGCCTCGCGGAGTTCCCGAGCGTCCAGTCAAGCACAAAATCGAGATAATAGAAGGGAGTGTTCCTCCAAAGGGCTGCGTCTACCACATGGGACAAGGCGAGTTGGAGGAGCTGCGGAGACAAATCAATGACATGATTGATCGTGGATGGATTAGGCCTAGCGAGTTTGAATTTGGCGCACCTGTCTTGTTTGTGCCGAAGAAAGGAGGCAAACTCCGGATGTGCATTGATTATCGTGGCTTGAATCAGATCACAAGGAAAAATGCCTACCCTTTGCCTCGTATAGATGACCAATTAGATGCAGCCGGTGGGTGTAAAGTTTTCTCCAAGATCGACCTCAAGTCTGGCTACCACCAGATTGAAGTTGATCCGAGCGACCAGCACAAAAACTGCATTCAAGACACGCGATGGGTTGTACGAATTCATCGTTATGCCCTTCGGACTGACGAATGCACCAGCCACATTTCAGTGCCTCATGGACAAGGTACTCCGCCATCAGCTTAACAGGTTTGTGGTTGTGTACCTTGACGACATTCTGATTTTCAGCAAGTCCATGGATGAGCACGTCAAGCATCTTGAGAAGGTTTTGCAAGTCCTCAGAGAAGCTCAACTGCACCTCAACTTAGAAAAATATGAGTTTGGTAGGGACAGTGTTATCTATCTTGGGCACCGGTTGTCTGCAAACGGCCTTGAGCCGGAGGCAACCAAGGTTGAGGTCATTCAAAACTGGCCTCAACCGGCGAACGTACGCGAACTGCGTTCTTTTCTCGGTTTGGCTTCTTATTACCAGAAGTTGGTACCCAGATTTTCTATTATTGCTCACCCACTCTCAAGACTAACCAGCAAGAATGTTGCATATGCATGGTGTGAGAAGTGTGAGTCTGCGTTCCAAGCCTTAAAAGAGGCCTTGGTGAGTCATCTTGTGCTCCGCATTGCGGATCCCAACCTCACGTTCGTAGTCACTACGGACGCGAGTCAGTTTGGGATTGGTGCAGTGCTGCAACAAGACGATGGCGATGGCCTGCGTCCGCTTGAATATTACAGCAAGCGCATGCCCATCCACAAGGTAGCTACTTCCACATATATGCGTGAGCTTTACGCCCTGCGCGAAGCCCTCGCACATTGGAAGCACTACCTCTTGGGTCGCCACTTCAAGGTCTATTCTGATCATCAGACCTTGCAGTGGATTCAGACACAATCTGAACTCTCTCCTACATTGACCTGTTGGTTGCATGACATTGATGTCTACAGTTTCGAGTTGAAACATAAGAAAGGTTGTTATAACCGTGTCGCTGATGCTTTGTCGCGCCATCCCGAGTATTTGACTTGCCTTGTGGGTTCCTACGACCCCGGAAGGAAACTGAAGGAGGATCTGATTGAACACACCGCCAAGGATCCGGACCTCAGTCCCATCCTTGAGCAGCTCAAGGCTGACCCTAACAGTCAGCCTGATTTTCACGAATGCGAGGGTCTTGTGTTCCGCCGGTATGGAAAGTTTGATCGTTTGTGTGTACCCAACCATGCGCCTCTCCGAACTCATTTCTTGGATTTGGCGCATGGTCGGAGTGGACATTTTGGCTTTGAGAAGACTTATGGAAGTCTTCTGCAGCAATTTGATTGGCCAGGAATGAAAGGATC